CCCACCCCTTGCCCATCTGGGCCCCGCCGGGCGGGGCGTGACTGCCCGGTGGGCCCTGCCCCGGGATGTCCCGGGTCTTGTGTTCACGGAAGCCTGTCTGTCGACCCCTGGTTGGGTCGGTCCACTGTCCTCGGTCTATGGGCCTGTAGTGTGCACTCGGCCGGCTGCCCGTGGGCCAGGCCTGGCTGCATGGAGACACCAGGGGTTCCTGGGCCTCACGGGTGGGCAGGACCCCTGGGCAGCCTGTGTGAGCTTCTCGTGACGATGGTGTTTTAACGTGAGCCCCGTGAATCACGGTGGTCCCGTCCTGTAGGGGAGCCTCCTGCTTCCCAAGGAAACTGGAACCATGACTCACATTCCTCGTATCTGAACGTCTTACTGTTCGCTGGTGCCCGGGCTTCATGGTCCCAGGTGACTGGTCATCTCCCCGGGGGTGCGCTGGGTCTCCCGCCATCATGCAGTGACCAGAGCTGAAGGGACAGCCCAACATGTGACTCAGCCGGTGGTCGCAGAGCTTGCGACGTGCCCGGACCCAAGGGTCTGAGGGCATCTGTGACCTCCTCCGAGACTGGGCACCTGGCGGGCTGTGGCGTTTACACGTTGGACTCAGGGATCCCTCCTGGCCCTGCAGGGCTGGGAGGGTTGGGTGGGCGAGCGCGTCCTGCTCCCGGACCACCTGGTACAATGGACTTTCCGGGCAGCATAAAAGTAGGTTTTCTCTTGTCTCTGCTGTGTGCAAGACTGTGTGCCCAGCTGAGGTCGGGGTCTAGCCATTGTGGTCACGGCACACCTCGCACCCTGTGCTCAGAGGTCAGGTCTCCCACTGTGACCAGCAGCCTGGGGACCCGGACATGAAGTCCACATTCCTATGGTACCTGATGCCCTGCCCTTGCTCACCCCAGGGATGTCTGCGTCCTGGGCTCCGTGTCTGTAGGTGCAGGTGTCCCTGTAGCCCCGCCACCTGGCCACGGAGTCTGCCACTTGCACCCGAGCCCTGACTTGGGGCACTTTTCCAAAGGTGAACCTCAGTTTCTGGGGGACCTTTTTTCCTAGGACCAGGTAGTCTCACAGGCACAGGTCCTCTCTCTGGGACACTGAGCTGCCAGGGTCTCCCCTGCTAGTGGACGGTGCCTCTGGTGGTCCAGGCTCCCAGTGCGTGGCAGGACCTGGGTTCTTGGCCTTGTTCCTGGTTGTCTCAACACTGCACGTATCCACTGGCTGCCCTTGGGGCTGCCTTGTACTCTTGACCCCTGACATCATGTCTCTTGCGCCTGGAATGGGGTGCAGAGCCTGTCTCCCAAGTGGGCTCTGTTACCTCACCTCCCATCGCCACACACCTGCCCCTCGGAGCCCAGGGGTGGGATAGGGACTGTGCCCTGCCCGGAAGGAGGAGCTGCAGCCCCAGGCCCGGCCCCCCAAGAGTCATGGCTGGGTGGGAGTGCTAAGAAGGACACTTGGGCTGGCTGCAGGGTTCCCCCCCCACACCATGCCCTGAGACCACACACGAATTAAGGGCTCTGTTTTATTTAACGTGCAGCTGGTTTGCTAGTCTGTGTTCACCTTTGCTCCCTCCCCCCAGCGCACTTCCCGGGCTGCCTGACGCTTCCGTGGCCGCTCACTCCAGAGCCCTGAGATGCTCCCCTGGTGTCCTCTCTGGTCCTCAGCTGGGGAGCACTCAACCTCCGAGTCCCCCACACTAGGTTGGCTGCAGCCGCTGCTCACGTCTGGCTGTTTCTACCCACTTGTGGATGAGCCTGGCCTCGAACCCACGAGCCTCCTGGACAGACGTGGGGTCTTCTGGATGAGACGCTCTAAGGAGCAGGCAGGGGACTTGAGTGGGGCAGCAGGCTGAGCCCCGGCCCTCCCCGGCCCATGGGCCAACTGGTCCGGGCCAGACGCAGCACCCCTCCAGGGCAGGACCGCACCTCAGGTCTAGGTGATGGGCGCCCCCCTGGATGGTGACGGCGAGGACGGATGCACTCAGGTTAGTCCGGATCTGTCGGAGGACGTTTGTCTGCTGCACCGTGGGCCTCAGCCTGACCCACCCCTGCACCCCACCCACCCGCTGCGGCCTGTCGGGGCTGTGTCCCCACGGGGGTGTAGCTGAAGCAGGAGCTCCCAGGGACAGCCTGGCCTTGAGCTGCCTTGTCAGGAAGGAGAGCTGGAGCTTAGGGCACCAGCTGTCAGTGCACACCAAGGGGAGGGGGCATCTGGGGGGCTCAGTCCGTGAGCGTCCGACTCTGGGTTTTGGCTAGGGCCTGACCCTGGGGTAGTGGGATCGCACCCCATCAGGCTCTGTGCTCAGCAGGGAGTCTGCTCGTGACTCTCCCCCTCCCTCTGGCCGCCTGCCTCAAAGGTAGTCCAAGGGCAAGAACCAGAGAAGGGAGGAGGAGACGACCTTAGAGGGAAAATGGAGGCCGCACAGAAGCCAGGGGTGGAGGCTGGCAGACCCACGGGGAGCATCCAGCATGGCCCCGGGGCTGGCCAGAGCCGAGCCCCTGCAGCAGCCCCCTGGCTGTGACTCACCCCGCCCCCTGCCCAGGGGTCCAGGTCACCGTTGGAGAAGAGGATGTTGCTGGCGGCTTTGAGGTCTGCAAGAGACAAACATGGGGGTGGGGACAGGGCCGGACCAGGGAGCCGAGTCTGCGTGGGGCAGAGGGAAGGGTGCTTCCATCTTGAGCCTCACTGTCTCCGCCGAAGCTGGTCTGCAGCCAGTCCCTCCGGGGCCACACACCCCACGTGTCCAGGCAGTACTGCTGGCGGAGCGCCTCCGTGAAGGGCAGCACGGGGAAAAGGTCTGTGACGTTGTTGCTGGAAAACGTCAGGTTGATCTCGGTGCAGGCCTGCGGGATGCCCCACACCGAGGTCAGGAGGGTAGGGGACCGCATCGGGCACCTCCGTCCCGGGCAGTCCCAGGTGGCCAGCAGCCCCATACCTGGTAATCCCAGGCCCTGGCGTCAGAGCCGGTGCCACAGCCTGTGGGGTCCGCGCAGGCCTGGTACTGCTGATAGATGTCGTAGCAGGACGCGGTGCCCGAGGAGTTGTATACCAGCCCTGGCGGACAGGGGCGCTGGGCCGGGGCTGGACACTCACCTTGCCCCTTGGAGGGGCCAGGGCGCCCAGCAAGGTGTGGAACTCCTGGGATCCGTGCAGGCAGCTCCTGCCCCCCCAGGGTGACCCCCCACCTCACACAGGGCAGGGCGTGGCTGGGAGTGCTGCCTGCCCACGCCCAGGGCCTCTCAGAGAAACTGTGGAACGGACCGCCCCCCATCCAAGCTGGGCCAGGGACTGAGTGCTTGGGAACATTGGTGCTCCTCGCCTCCACGTGGCCTGTGGCCCCCAAGCCATGTCCACCCCCCACACTTGGCGCAGGGCTGAGGGGCAGACGCACCAGCCAGGGCTCGCAGCCCCTTGATCCTCTGGCTCTCACTCAGCAGTCGGTCACAGCCAACCTAGGGAAACCAACCAAAGACCCCCACTTGGCCTACGGCCCCCTCCCGGCTGACCCTGCCCTGGTCCTGAGCTCCAGAGTGGCCGTGAGCTCTTGGGCCGTCCAGCACTGGCCATTCCACGGGCACTTCTCTGTCCTCGGACACTGCCCTCCCCAGATCCCTGCCCGTGTTTCCGGGCGTTGGGAGCGAGCATCTTGCCTTGACTGGGTTGGCGGGAAGGTGCCCGATGAAGTCGGTGGGGTACGGGTAGTCCATCATGGCCAGCACGGTGAAGGCATTCCGGGCAAATCCGAAGAGCTGGGTCAGGTCCTCCCGGCTGGACAGTGTCTGGCAGGTGCCGAACTCCCGGCTGACCGTGTCATAGGCTGTCAGGAGGAGGCGGGGCCACGCGGTTTGGGTGTAGGTGGGGCCGAGGGAGGGGCAGGGGGGAGGGGACATGCCTCCTCACCTCCCTGCGAGAACAAGTCCTTGATCTGCCGGAAGGCGTCCCGCACGCCCTGGGCACACTTGGGACTCTGGCCCTCAAAGTCCTGGAAAGAGAAGAGTTGTGGCTGCAGCTGCCACAGCCTGGCCCAGCCCCGGGGCCCTAGAACCCTGGCTTACCGCCGAGACGTCCCGGAAGAACTGGTAGGAATCGCCGAGGCCGGCCACAGCCACAACCGGCGCACTGGCGGCGAGCGCGCCGGCCACAAGATGGGGGTACTTCATCCTCATGTAGGCGCTGAGCATCCCCCCATAGCTGGGTGGGGACACAGGGGGGCTGGGCCGTGGCGGCCAGGACCCCAGCCTCCCCAGCACCAGCCCCCACGGTGCCCCCGGGAGGCCCCGAGACCTCCAAGTCCCACAGGGGCCACGTACGCATGCGTGGCTCAGGGAGCGGCCGGCGGGGCGAGGACCCACCTGCCACCGAAGGCGATGACGGGGCTGTCGTCGGCCCCGAGGTTACGTCGCAGCGCGCGGATCAGCCTGGCGAAGTCGGCCAGGGCCTGCTCCACCGTCAGCAGCTCTGTGTGCCCGCGCCGCGTGGACCGGTCGCCGAATGGCAGTGACTTCCCATAGTAGCGCTGCGGGGGGCAGTGGCGGGACTGAGATGGGCTCCCCCCGCGCCCGCCCTCCCAGCCCGCGCCCGCCACCGGCACCCACGTGCTCCGCGAATACGACCAGGGCCTCCTGCTGAGCCGCCAGCTCCTGGATGAAGCCTGAGTTGTTGGCGAAGGACCACACGTTCCCCTCATTGCCCGTGTAGAAGAATATGGGCCCTTTGCCCTTTTTCCAGAACTTCTCTGTCGGGCGGAGACAGGAAGGGGTGGGTGAGGCGAGGGGCAGGACCCCCGGGGCCCGCGACCCCCCCCCCGGGCGACCTCACCTGACACCAGGAATCGCTGGGGGAAGGTCTTGTTGCCGAACCTCTCGAAGTTGAAATGGTCTAGGAGCTGCTCGAAGTAGCCCTCCCGGAAGCCGCTCTCCGGGGCTCTGGGGGCTGGAAGGGTGCGGTGCTCAGCGCAGGGGTGCGCAGGGCAGGGTGGGGGTGCCCGCGGGCCCGCACTCACCCCCAGCCTCCAGGCTGCGCGGCCCCAGCACCAGCAGCAGGGTCAGGGCCCAGAGCCGGGCAGGCCGCGGCTGAGCGCCCATCTCTGGGGAGCGGGATGTGGTCACGTGACCGTCGCGCTCACGTGACCGCCAGGGCAGGCGGTGGGGGGGGTTGCTGGGCACTGCCCGACCTTCCCGCCGCCCTGCCTACCGGGCCTTCCGTCCCGGGTCTCAAGGTTCCTGCCACCCGCCGTGTCACCACGGAGACAGTCCCCGTGGGGACGTGGGAAGCAGGAGAGGGCTCGAGGGCCTGGTGCCGGGACAGGGGACGTGTGCTCAGCACCCCCAACTCACCCTCCAGGAGCCACCGCCCAGGGCTCCAGCGCAGGGCGCGCCGCAGGGAGGCAGCAGCCAGCCAGGCTGCTCCTCCCGGCGCCTCCCCCACAGGGCTGACTCAAGGGCCGTGTGGGCTGACCCCTGGGGAGAGGAGCGGAGTCTTGGGAAGGTGGGTGGCAGCGGGAAGAAGGGGTCTGGGGCAGAAGGCCAGCAGCCCTGAGCAAGGGGCTTGTCCAAGTGACCTCAAGGGGCCTGGGGCCGTGGCAGGGGCGCGGCCACACAGGCAGGTGCTTGGGCAGTGCAGGGATGTGGCTGCTGAGCGCCCAGTGTTGGGGGAGAGGGGGTCCCAGGTCCCTGCTAGGACCTAGGGGTCCTCTCGCCCACCCCCCACCCCCAAGGCTGCAGATGAAGGACAGGCCGGCAGGGACACGGGGCCCCGGACCTGAGTACAAACCACCCTGAAGAGGGTTTAACGCCCACCCGGGGAGGAGCCCTACAGCCTCCTCCACCCCCCCCACCGAGATGACAAGAACCTGAAGGGATGACCGGCTAATTGGCCAGCAAGCCCACAGGCCTTTGTCTTCCGTCACTCAATAAACCTTGCTTTGCTGTCCACCACTCTGGCCTCCTCCCGTTCTTCCAGGGTGTGACCAAGAACCACAGACAATCTGGCAACACCTCCAGGGGCCCCACAGTCAGACTGGGGCCCGGGAGGGGCCGCCTCTCCCCTAGCAGCCAGGCCTGGACACGGGCGAGGGGCCAGGTACCAGAACCACCCCTGCCCCAGGCTGCGGAGGGAAGGGGAGTCACCAGGCCCCGCTCCCCATACTGTCCCTGGCCAGCATGACCTCCAGTCTCCGCCTGGGCCCGCCCTGCCTGGTGCTGGGACAGGCCTGGGCTGGGGTCCTGACCTCGGGCTGTGGCCTGGGAACCTAGGCCCCCAGGACAGGCCCTGACTGAGCAGTGGGGACCACATGCTGTCGCAGGACTATCACTGTGACAACCAGCATGGTGACAATGACTGTCCATCGTGTCACACCACCCCATGGGTGTGGTCCCCCATGGTCACCAAGTGCCACACCACAATCACTCCAGAGTCCCTGTCCCCACTTGTATGTCCCTGTGTCCCTTCCCCCCCGCCCCTATTCCCATGTCCTGTCAGTGCCCCTATCCCTGTGTCCCTGTGTCCCCATCCTTGTGGCCCTGTGTCCCTACAAGCCCGTGCCCCTCTGTCCCTGTGTCCCTGTGTCCCCGTCCCTGTGTCTCTGTTCCCGTATCCTTGTGTTCCTCATGTCCCCGTGTCCCTCGCCCTCTGTGCCCAACCTTGTGCCCTCGTCCCCCTGTCCCTCTGTGCCCACCCTTGTGCCCCCCTTCCCGTCTCTGCGTCCCCATCCCATGTCCTAGTCCCTGTGTCCCCGTCCCATGTCCCAGTCCGTGTGTCCCCGTCCCATGTCCCCGTCCCTGTGTCCCTGTGTCCCCATGTCAGGTCCCTTTGTGCTTACCCTCTTGTTCCCGTCCCTGTGCCCCCCTGTCCCCCTGTCCCTATCCCTCTGTCTCCGTGTCCCCATCCTGTCTCTGTGTCCCCAAGCTCCCGTGTCCCCGTATCCCCGTGTCCCTGTTCCTGTGTCCCCGTGCCCGCACCCAGGGCTGCCTGTCCTGTGTTGAGTAGACAGGTGCCCGTGCAGGGTCTTCGTGGTCTCTGGAGGGTAGAGGCCAGGACAAGACACGAGGACTCGCAGCTCCTTCCCCCTGGATGGCAGTTTCTCCTCAGGCTGGTCCTGCTCTCACTCCCTCCTCCTAGCCCAGGCGCCAGACACTAATACCCCAACCGCAGGCTCACCATGTTCTCCCCTCCAAACCCTCCGGGCAGCGCCTCCGTGCCTGGGGTGGCACGAGGAAGACCCAGACAGGTGCATTCTGATTCCCTCTGTCCTGCCACGCCCGGTGGCCCTGACCACGCGGGTACGTCTGGGGGTCCAGAAACCCTCCTCCCAACTTCATGGGGGCCAAAACTGGGTCTTGATCCTCCATCCAAAGCCCACGCATTTGGGGAACGAGGCCCGGTCCTGTGTTTGGGGCTCGTAGTCTTCTTTTACCGAAACGTATCTGGTTTTGGTATCAAGGTAATATGGGCCTCACAGAACCGACTAGAGTGCGCCCTCCTCCCAATGTTCTGGAGAAGTCTGAGAAAGATTGGTGCTAATTCTATAAACATTACCTTGAAAAAGATTTTTAAAGTCGTCTCTACACCCAGCGTGGGGCTCAAATTCACAACCCCCGAGATCAAGAGTCTCGCGTGCCAGGAGGTGCGCTGGCCGCGCCCTCTTTGAAGTCCGGTGAGGCTGACAGGGAAGCCACGTGCTCCCGGCTTCCCTTCGTCCTCAACGACTGTTTCAGTCTGTGTGTTCTAAGTCTGTTGAAGTTTCCTTTGTCATCTCTGGGGCTAACTTAGGTAATCTGTCCGTCTTACAAGGATTGTCAAACTTGTCCACGTACAACTTTTTATCACAGTGTCTTATGGTCTTTGCCATTTCTGTAAGGTCACTGGGAACGCCCCTGCTTACGATTCTGATTTTAGTTATCTGCCTTCCTGCTTTTTGTCACCTTAAAGATCAATTTCGCCCATGTTTTCAGAGAACCGACTTCCGGCTTGGGGACCGTGTTGTGTCCCTGTCCGACCCTCTGCCTGACTCCCTCCGTCCCGCTCTCGGCGGTTTGCTTCCTGTCTCCCAGCTCCTCAAGGTGCGCAGCTTGGCATTAATCTGAGATCTTTCTTCCTTTACTATTTTTTAAGGAAGTTCTACACCCAGCGTGGGGCCTGAACTCACGACCCTGACATCGGGAGGCTCGTGTTTCATCGACCGAGCCGGCCGGGAACCCGGTCTCTTCCCTCTCTCACGTGCAGGCATTCAAAATCATAAACTTGTATTTGAGTGTGGCTTTTTCTGCCTCCCATAAATCCTGTATTTTGTGCCTTTGCTCTCATGGATCTCAGAATTCTGAAAATTTCCCTTCTGCTTTCCTCTCTGACCCACTGAGCGTGTTAATTTCCACAGATCTATGAATTTGCCCGTTTTCTCTCTTATTTGTCCTCTGACTTCCAGCTTCATTCCACTGTGGCTCAAAGATACTATTTTTTCAATTTTTAGAAACACAGGAATACTTGTTTTGCATCCTGACCTCCGACAGAGCCTGGGGAGGGCTTCCCAGGCACCTCAGAAGGGCGGGGACCCTACTGCAGCTCGGGCTGCCGCCCCGCCCGCTGGTCTGGCGAGTTCTCTGCGCTGCTCACGGCCTCGACTTCCTTCCCGACCTGCCGCCGCGTGTTCAGTGATGATGCAGCTCGCGGGACGCGGAGAGGCATGAGCAGCCCCGGCTGGCAGCACATTCCTCCCAACGGACGCCAACTCCACGCACTCACACACACACACCCGACCTTGGAACGGCTCCCAGCTACCCCTTCGGGTGCCTGTCGTCGTACACCGCGGCCCCAAACGTACACTTGTCGCTGCTGGACACGTGTCGCTGAGGCCTGTGGGGTGAAGGCTGGAGTTGCGAACAAAACCCGACCCTGGCTTTTGGACCCCCACGGCGGTCTCTGACAGACATCTTCCTTCCTCCCTCCCGAGTGCCCTTCCGCTCCCATCTGACGGCCTCCCACGACCGCGTCGCACACGCCAGGCTGACTGGCAACGAGGGCCTCGGCTTTTCTCTGGGAAGATCTTAAATCCTCCCACATTTTGCGAGTCAATTTTGCTGTATACAGAATCTTTAGTTGAAAACTTTTCTTTCATCAAAGTAGGTCGTTCCATAGATTCATGGCTTTTTTTTTTTTAAAGATTTGAGAGCGAGCGCCCATGACGGGGCAGAGGGGCCGGGGGTGAGAATCTCAAGGAGACCCCCTGCCAAGCAGGGGCCGACCTGGGACTCGATCCCACAACTCAGTACGATTGCAACCTGAGCAAGAACCACAAGTTGGACACGTAACGAACGGAGATACCCAGGCACCCCCATCTCTTTGGGGAGAAAACAGCTGATTGACCTGAGGACATATGGGGCATTATGCATCGCTTCTCATGATGCTCAGGATTCTGTCTCTCAACACAGTCTCTGCTGTGCGTCTCTCTGAACTGATTCTATGAGGAAGTCATTAAGCTCTTGCGTTTGTACATCTGCATCTTCTGACATCAAATTCAGGAAACTTTCTGCAATTTCTCAAATATTCTCATGCTCCTTTCTCTCTGCTACGACCTTCACTGGTGCACGTGTGCACCCACTTGAATGGGACCCTGGAGGTCACCTGCCTCTGTCCACTGCTTTTTGTGCTTTTCTTCCCATCCTCCCATTGTGTGGCTCCAGTCCTACCCCTGGGCCTTTGCACGATCCCGTCAGCACTGACCTGCACTCATGAATCTTGCGCCCGCACACTTCAGCCTGGGACTCTCTTCCTTTACAAAACTTCTTATGCACATGCTCGGGCTGCGCACACATTTCTGATTTCTTTTACTTCCACGTGCGTGTTCTGACTTCGTGCAGCACATTTAAGAATGTTCTTAGTCTTTTTCTAATAATTCTCAAAACAAGACTTCTTTAGGGGTAGTTTCTAGCACCTAATTGTGCTCTGTTTGGCAAGCCATACTGTTTTCTCCTCGTGATTTCGGTGTCGCTGTTGCTGAAAACTGCAGGTGAGGGTTCCACCTGCTTCTTTATGTTTCCAGGGAGAACAGGAACTTCATGGCTGCTGCGGGCTACGGACAACCACTCCC